GTATTCAGCCAATCACAATGCACTGGATAGCTGGCCAATCAGCGTACACCTCGCTTTTCAGAACGATGAGCTTTGTAAAAATCTATGCGTTTCAGAAAGGCAGGGCATAGAGGAGAAACAAAAATGTACAGTATGTGGAAAATAATTTTTTTAACCTTAAACCGCATAAACACATTGCATTACACCAAATACACAACATAATGTTCTTTTTAGCAACGTCATATGACCCCTTTAATTTATGCTGTTTCTGTGATTGATGAAACTGAGAAACAGAAATAAGTTAAAGGAAACTTAATGGTAAATCTCTGTGTACCGTACATTAGAAATTAAGAAATGCAAATGCATATATCAACCAGCAATTTATAGATTTGTTTATATATACACGTGCTGTTATACGGCAAAATAATAATAATAATAATAATAATACATAAATAAATACAAATAAAAAAATCTGTATCTTTCTTGTTCTCCAGTATCTAAACATCCTTAAACAAGATACAATTAAGAATTTAACTGCAGAAAATATTAACGATTGTTTAAAAAATATATATGTTGAATTAAATATTATATTTGAAGTATTTATTTATACTTCAGTTCAAATATCCCCAATGGTATACTACTTAAAGTTATTTAGTTATTTTCTCACATACACACCTAATGGTTCACTGCATTGGTTTGCTTCAGAAGTCATAGATTCATCAACGGGAGACATATGGATTACCACTGTGTTTGTTTTCTGTGTTTTTTTGTAGCAGCTTTGAGGGATCCATGCACTTGCATTATTTTTCCTGAAAATACTAAATTTGTGTTCCACCGCTCCAGCTCTGTACATTAAGAGTGGCCTAGCTGGCATTGAATAGATGCCCCTACCTCTTTAACTCACAGGACAAGTGCAGGTTTAAGATATTGAGTGCTACTGAGAGATTGATTTATGGGTTTAAATACTGCTGGAGCACCTCATCCCACAAAAAAATCAATGTCTCTTTTGCATTAGCTTTGGATGTTCTTCTAGAAAACTTACAGGGACTGTATTTTTCTCATTAAAATCAGCTAACAGAGTTGCCTCTGCTGTAAAATCACATGATGGACTGCATCTCAGGACAGATTACTGCTTTAAACTTTAACCAATCTATTCAAACTGGCTCAGGATTGTGTATTTAAAGGCGAAGTGTGTAATTTCTATCCTTCTTGCAACACTAGAATTGTCCCTTCCCAGTTGCCCTGATTCGGATGCCACTTAATGATTCTGGTTCCTTTATGATTCTATTAATGATTCTTTTATTACTTTTGAGGAAAATATATGCTAAACGAAAACAATAAAATTTTTGGCAATATCTATTTTTCCTTAATCTAAGTACCATTTATTAAAACCAAATATCTGAATTTGAAACTTTAACCAGGGAGACCCCCAGAAAGGGCCATAAGGGAATACCAATGGGTCCATGGAAAAAAAAACTAACACTTAATAATAAATATATATATATAAATAATAATTAAAAAAAAACTAATAAATAAATACATTTAAATTATTTGGATTTAAATACATGCATACAAAAAAATAGTAATTAAGTAAATCATATATCTAACAGTACAGCACTATAGAGAGTAGAAAAAAAAACACATAATAATGTAATGTATTCGAAGCCAAATAGTTTCCAAATAATATTTTACACATATTTATAATAATATAAATACATTTTTCACAGCATAAATTGGGTCTTTATACATGAACATATATAGCTGCCTTTTAAAGTTTAGAATTTGGGTCCCTCTCACAAGGACAATCCTATTTGGGGTCTGTGGCATCTATAGGATTGAAAACGCCTTTAACTACATGTTGTCATATGAAACGATGTGAATGAAAGTGAAGATATGACTTGAAAGTTCTGTTCAAGTGTGTCAAATGTTATATTAATGACTGATTCAGTTAATAAGGGATCAAACTGGTAACTCATGCTCTGCCTTTTTGACTGATTCATTAAAAACATCCTGCTCAAAAGAGTCTTTTGAATGGGAAACAATGCAAAAACACTCAACTTTATGCTTCTGGATCACATACGTACCACCACTTGAGCACTGCTGCTGAGTCCCTCCCCGTAGTCGTCGGTAGCAACCACGTCAAATTTAAAGTAGGAGCGCCGCATGTTTCTGTACATGATGGCTGTCTTAATTACTCCTGTGAAGGGCTCAATAACAAAGCCGTCTTTACCGTCAGTAGTTGGGGGGATAATCAGCCTGTACAGCATGGCGCTATAATTCCCTGTGTCTTTATCCACAGCCTGTCAGATACAATAGAGCACAGACATGTCAAAGAGAGGAATAGCCACAAGCTACTTGTCACCTAACACAGAGCTGCTCAACCTCTGCCGGTGCACGCACTTCCCCCTCTGGCCTTTAGGAGGAGCTCCAAGCTCCGATTTCACAGCACCGATGACACATTGGCTCCAGTCTCAGCTGAACATTATAGCACTCCACTGCGGTGGCAATGATTTATAATGGCTTTTTACAAGAGAGGGGAACGGACAGCAGGGTGCCCTGGACCAGGCAGAGTCATTAACACAATTGAGACTTTTTCCAATATGCCTGTGAGACCTGTTTCAATAAATACAGTAAGTGTGTATAAAAGGCCCTTGCAAACAAAAGGTCCGTCTATTGATTAGTCATTTAGTGAGGCCGATCATGGACAAAATGCACGACTTGGCCGCGGAAACCCACAGATCTTGAGTCGTAACAGTTTTCCTTTTCTTTCTTTGTGTCCCAAATTAAACCCGAGGAACATCAGAAATGCCATGTTTTCCAATATGCCTGGAAGACCCATCTCATTATATACAGCAAGTGTGTATTAAAGGTCCTTGCAAATAAAAGGTCCGTCTTTTAATTGGTCATATAGTGAGGCTGAGCGTGGACACAATGCGCAACTCACGGTGGAAACCTTCGATCACTGCTGCTGCACAGATCTTGAGTCAAAACTTTTTGAAATTGAATCTGTATTTCCACAGAAGTCTCATTTTTCTTTTCTCTTTCCATGTTTATTTGTTTTTTTTATACCTCAGATTACACTCAAGGAACACCAAAAAGGCAATGTTTTCTCAGAAGGCAGATATTTTTTCAACATGCATGGAAGACCCGTTTCAATAGATACAGTAAGTGTGTATTAAAGGCTCATGCAAACAAAAGGTCCATCTTTGAACTGGTCATTTAGTGAGGCTGAGCGTCGACAGAATGCATAACTCATCAGCTGAAACATTTGATGGCTTCTGCAGCGCAGACCTTGAGTCGAAACTGTGAAATTGAAATTGAAGTCAAGGAACATCAAGGTAGAAAGGTAATGTTTTTTTAGAAGGCTGATAAATTGCATAAACTAATTATCGGATGAGGACAGAACAATGAATGCAGGGCTAATCGGAAGAAAGTGTTTCTACAACGCAATGTAAAAGCAGTTCTTTCACCAACTCTGTGCTTAGGGTTGGCAGAGCAAGGAACGGTTTCAATTTTCTCGCCTTTTTCTCCTCAAAACTATTTAAAGAGGGATTTCAAAGTAGATTAGTCTAATCTACAAAACCCTGAGCTGCAGCTTGAACAAAAATCTATAGTAAGTGATTTCTGCGACACCTGAGAAATGGACTAAATGCAAGACCGTGTATGTCAAGGCAGCATATTTGGATGTTTGCCCGCTGAACTTCATATCTCAGATGTTTCTTCAAGTAAACAGAAGACACTGATGATGGTAATCTGTATTCGCAGTGAACGTGACCCTATAAAACCCCGGGCTTCTGCTGCATGGCTTAACTCAGTCTGGGGTCTTGGCTAATAAGGTCTCCTTGAACGAACACAGGACGCCGGGCACCTGATAGCATCACAGTCGCTGTTCTTTTAGTCTGTACATGAACTTAAGGCAGGGTGAAGCCATATGAGGTGAACCCCTGCCTGAGTTACCGCACGTGGCCTGCAAGTCTGATTAGAGTAACACTGAGATAATTACATGGACGACTTTTACAGGTTGTAGTTCTGAGGCCAGAAACATATTTAAGCAAGTACTTAATTTAGACGCTTGTGAAAGACATTGGAATTTTGATACCACTGTAAAAACTAATATACTATTAAACCCACTTCTTTGAAGTGAAACATTAGTATAAATATTAAAGTAAATTAGCCTTCAAGTATATCTGAAGAAAAATGTTTTAATTGAAATTAATTATTCAAGACAAGAAAACCGTAATATAAAAAAAGAAGAGAGAAACCAATTACACGCAACTGAACAAATAAAAACAACAGAACAAAGACACTAATGAAATCAACAGTGCTTGGAGTCTGCTGGGTATTTAATGCAAATAAACAAAAATAAGTAATTAAATGAAAAGTAAAATTATACTTTTTTATACTTTTTGTATAAACCCCCATTGACTTGCATAATGTTTTTTCCCCCCATACTATGGAAGTCAATGGGGACCAGCAACTGAAGGTGAACTATCCCTTTAAATTATTGGGGTTTGTAATTAAAATGAATAATAACATTTTTTTTCCCTTTCAGCCTAGCTTTTTGTATGCTCTACAATGAAAAACCTATTAAAATGTTATCCAGCCAGAAGCTGGATAGCAATAGTGTCATTTGATTAATATTAATGACATAATAGACAGTGACAGGTCTATTGTAGAAACATTAGGAATTGTTCTGTTCACTTACACTGTTTTAACTAGGGGAAAAAACAATGGCAGAAAAGTGCCTTGCAATGTCACAATTCACATAAGTCCATGCAAATTTTATTGAAAAATGCGCTGATCATTGAAATCTCTAGTTTATGTTCTGCAAAGCTTGTCTGAGTTAGCAACAGTAACCAAGGGGGCGGAGCTATAGCATCAGTACTCAGTATTACTGATGCTGTACTGGCATTACATTACTTACATTTTAGCATCAACTTTATATTTTACTGTTACCTTTGACATCCCTAGCACTTCTGTACTCAAGGGGGTGATAAAGTACCTTCAAATCTCTGCTATTAAATCAGATTACCAGTAATTATTGAGGTTGTTAGCCATAAATGTGAAACCCATGAAACTTTTACTCTGCTGTGACAGATGACATTTTTTGCAAATGTCTGCTATAGTGTGTGTATTATAAATCACACAGAAATGGATAAACGCATGCAAAAATGTTTAAAATCGAGCGTGAGATGCCAGAAGTGTCTGTTTATGTACTTGCATAGGGTATGTTTCAGGCTAGAATACATGTTTGAAAACAGATTTGAGTAAGAGACGGGGTTAATCAGAGAAGACAGAAAGACAAAGTCATTGTTAGACCGAAAAGTACTAGTAAAGACAAAGAAAACTGAAAAAAAAAATTACAGAGCGAGAACGAGGAACAGCGGCTGGAAAAGGACACAGTCGTGCTATCTGAGAAAGCCTGGCTGATTTATGTGGATCTCTGATTCATTTTCTTTTCCAGGGAATGCGGTGCCCTTGTCCATGTTTTTGACAGTTGTGTTCTGTATCAGCAGGCCCCCACAGCCATGACATTTTACAAGCTGTCTCAAGATGATCCAATCTTTCAGACCCCAGCTGAGTAGACTTAAACTCCTCAGCCGAGACCAGCAATCTGACCAACCAGAGAACAACACCTCCTCACACGGACACCGGAACCAACACACTTCAACCACCAGCACAGAAGAAAACTAGCATAATACACTCCAGCAAAATGTAACATTTCCACTTTTTCGAAGATAAATTCCCATGGTTTTCATTTAAAAATCATTCTGATTCAGACCAATTCACTACTGAATCATTCAGGCCAATTTTGGAATCGGTTTGATTCAAAAGAATGATTTGTTCACAATTCTATAATTTATTAATTAATAATAATTTATGCATTTAGCAGACGACTTACAGTGCATTCAGGCAATACATTTTTTACCAGTATGTGTGTTCCCTGGGAATCGAACCCACAACCTTTTGCGCTGCTAACGCAATGCTCTACCACTGAGCCACAGGAACAATTCTAACATCATTAAGGTTTGTGAACACATTTTTCTCTAAGCAAGAGCAATAGCAAACCACTGAAATTTTATAAAAACGCATATTCACCAAAGACATGCCCATGACTTTTAAGATTTGATTAATTATCTATGACTTTTCCAGGCCAGGAAAACTAGCCAATCATATTACAGGTAGCGATTTAGGCTGCTCCTGCCATTCGGATGCAATATGCATCAGTTAGTGAACAGTCCTTGGCTTATCTGTGAGAGTGCTGTCTGAAGCCTCATGGATAGAGTTACAATTCTGCGGGAGAAGACACTTTACCTGGACCTGTAAAACAGAGGTGAAGGTCTTGGCATCCTCTGCAACCCCACCGAGGTAAAAGGGCTTAGTGAACTCAGGAGGATGGTCATTCTCATCTTGCACATCAATGAAGACCTTTGCTGTGTTGCCTGTGAGGTGGAAAAAAAAAAAATTCACACAAGAACGTTATATCAATTTTAAACCTGAATCTAAAATATGAATACAGATTTTTTTGGGGATTTTGTATTTTTACAGACATTTAGTAAACATCAAAATAACATTTGATTAAAAAAACGGAATAAAATCCATTTTTTTCCTTTTTTATTTCCTTACAACAACATTCAACAACAAGTTGAATGATAAAATTCTTGATGTAGTAGAAGTAGTGACAGATCTTTTCTTCTGTATACGACAAACAAATTATGAAAAAACAAACAAAAACTGCACAGCAGGGATCTTGATTGGATTGATGCAGATCTGAATATATGAGCCTGCAGTTGATTGTAAGAAAGGGGCGAAGTTTAAGCAGACTTGCAGATGATTGGAGAATGATATCGTTTCACTAGATGACGACATTTTGATAAAAAATTATGAGCTTATTTACTTATTTATTTTTCATATGCACAAATTAATAATTCACAGTAAGATCAATTATATGCATTTAGAAAATAGGGAGACTTTCCATTTCATGCCGACTTGACAATGCAGCCAACACAACAGCAATTAAATTTTTTAAAATATCTTAAATAAAACATAGCTTTTAACTACAGTGAAGTAAATATCAATTCAACAGATGTCAAAATGATTATATTTTTGTATGATTTTACATTTCAGAAGTAATTCAAACTAGCATTAAATGTTTTAAACTATTTATGTGTTTAAAACTAGCCAGTATTTATGCTAGTTCTCAAAACCAAAAACAAGTGTACTGCTCTCATGGAAAATGCCTCAAAGCAATTACAATCAAACTCAGGTGATCACCACAACTCTGCCCTCCAAACTCAGTTTTGCACATCTAAGCTGCTGAAGTACATTTCTTTATGGAGCACAGCATTTCTTCATCAAGTCCTTCAAGACCATCATCTGTCGCCTCTCAAAGTAAAAGGCAGAGTCATATTTTGCAGGAGTATGAGAGCTACGACACGATTTATCATCTGACAGACTTCAGTGCTCATGCTAAGGGGTTTCCAGAACCTTCTGCCCATTTCTGCACAGTCACTCCGAGTGGAGTGCTGAAGCATCACAGCACAGAGCAGAATGACACGACACAAGAGGATCGCTGACCACTGGATGAAATGAAAACCAACAACAGTGAATAAAACCAGCAAGTAACCCCCTGAAAACATAAAGCAAGTCTTTTAAACAATATATTGACTTTTTGTAATGCTTTTGTCTGCCACAATAATGTAATGTTCTTAAATTCTCTTCATTTGGAGACTTTTCTCAGTAGGATATTGATCTATGAAGTAATTATGATTAATTCGATTAATTAATCTGCACATTATGTAATGAATTTAATTATAATTTTAAATCAATTCACAATCCTCATATTTTTATGATTACTCCCAGTACCGCCGCTCCCTATACGCAGAGTACACAGTTTGCGTATGGCACCAACTCCCAGGGGGGCACCATCCCAGTTGCTCAAAAAAAAAAAACGTGACGCGCCATTCCCGCATCCACGCCCGCGACCACTTGCTCCTCAAGTTTGCGGCCGAATGCAAATTATCATAATTGATGGACGACTATGCCCGTGAAAAGACATCAGCAATCCGGCGCCGAGAAAAAAAAAAAGTGAAAACGAAGCCTGTGCATCACTTTCAGGCACATTCATAATCCTGTGAAACTGTTTTGGCTGTTGACGTTAATAACGTGTTTTAATCAGGGCTTGAAGTGGAAAAAAAGAAGTGTCGGTACTCACTTCTTTTTTATTTTTATTTTTTAACTTATTTAATTATTTATTTATATGAAATAAATAAGTACTTTTTAATAATTCACAATGTATGTATAGTACGTTTCGTGAACCCGAGGAGGTAATTCTGACTTTGCTATGACAATCTGGCGCTTCTGAATCAGCTACTGTTTTGTTATTAGTTTAAGTATTTGCTTTTGACTGTTCAAATGCAGAGTTTTGCGCATCATGTGTGTGTGCGCGTGTGCGTGT